TCTGAAATGTAAGTTTTTAGGGCTTTGATATATTGGGCCGCCGGTCATGTTTTGGGGCTGTGAATATTAGTTACAAGGCTTGGAAGAACTGGGCCGATGCTTATCCTGTCCAATAGTTATGCTGTGCAACCGAATGCACCATGCGCATGGTGCATACGATGCAAAACGATGTTGTTTTGACTAAAAATGCTTGTCCCACTTAAAAAAAAATTCAGGTTCGATTCTCGACAATAGCATTATTGTGGATATATAGTTATGAATTTCTGGATATATAGTTATGAATTTATGGATATTTAGTTCATTCATTGTGGATATTTAATTCATTCATTGTAGATATTTACTTCATTCATTCACTGTGGATATATAGTTATGAATTTATGGATATATAGTTATGAATTTCTGGATATATAATTATGAATTTATGGATATTTAGTTCATTCATTGTGGATATTTTGTTCAATCATTGTGGATATTTAGTTCATTCATTCATTGTGGATATATAGTTATGAATTTATGGATATATAGTTATTAATTTATGGATATATAAAAATGCTATTGCCGGGAATCGAACCTGATTTCTTTTTTAAGTGGGATGCGCATTTTTTAACCAAAACGACGTTGTTTTGCATCGTATGCACCATGCGCATGGTGCATTCGGCTGCATAGCATAATTTACATATCCATGTCTGTCTAAATATATGTATATACGTAGTATAAATCTATATATATATATATAGATTTATTTATTGTATTTTTAATTATATTATGGTATGATTTTTAAAAAATTTTATTGGGTTTATAGTGACAATGTAAATTAAGAATTTTATGTTATTTTAATGATATTAGTTAATAAAGTTGATGTAGAAAATATTGATGATCAAGAATATTCTAATGTGCATTGTGAAAGTGCATGGATTGCATTTGCAGAGATAATCATTTTTTAGAATTCTTAGGCCTTCGTTATCTAGAATGTTGCCCATTAATAATAATAATGGTACCTATAATTGAAATGTATTTTTTCAATATATATATATATATATATATATATATATATATATATATATATATATATATATATATATATTTATTTATTTTTGACACATCATGTATGTTGTATTTTGTAAACATCATTCCTGAAGTTTTTATTTAACTTCACAAACAAAACTTTTTGATAAAAATTTCATGTAGAAATATAAGTGTTACTATAAATGATCATGATCATTTTTTTTCCTCTACATTTGCAATTTTTAAATATATGTCCTTGGTATAGGAAAATTATTTTGATATTTATATACATTTCATATTTAATTTTTTATGCAAAGTAATTAATTTTATGAATATTTAAAAAATGCTTCTTAATATATATTATTATATATAGCATTCAAAAAAAAATATTATATATAAGATTATGCATTTTATTAATTTATATTGTGGAGTTTTCATATCAAATTATGAGCTTATATCACAATTACAAGGTATACAATTTGTACTCCTAAGGGGCATAATTTTATAGGATTCAAATTTAATTTAATAATAATGAATCATTAGTTATTATTTATATTTTTTTTACATTCATTTTTAACTTTGTAAATATATATTGTTCATTTCTAATATATTTTAATATAAAAAATTGAAATATTAAAACAAAAAAAAAATATAATAATTTATATAAATTATTATAAAATATTTTTTTTTATTCCTTGGTTTATTCACCCCGTGCATCGCACGGGTGGAGTACTAGTCTAATAAGAGCCAATGAATCAATAATGTTAAGCCCTTAACAAGAACAAAAAAAAATGTCTGTATAATTGTTTCTTAAAATCAATGGTTCATATTATTTTGATTTTAGTATTTTTTTTAATGATTTTCCTTATTTACCCTCTATTATATTATTTTCTTCACTTAAATAACTTAAATTTCGTTAGTATAAACTTTAGTAACGGAATATTCGGTTAACTATTTATTATTTTTAGCTTACTCATTAATAATTTCTATAAGAAAGGTCTTAGATTCGAACCGCATCCTAATTAGAGTTAGCATAATTGTTAAACATATACTACGAATATGTTAAAATGTATTAAAAAATATATATAATATAAAATTTAACATAAACTTTGGTAAAATAATTAGCCCGATTAAATACATAGCATCCAAAGATTATAAATCAGGAACTTTAAAAATCATTTGATTTTTATGCATTTAAAAAAAAAAAAAAAGAATTGGTTGAGTTTTTTTTTTCTTTTCGTTTAATTAATCTTATTTTGATTATTTAGAACAAAACTTAATATTTCAATTATACTTTTGCATTATAGGAATGATTTAGGTCATTATGTCATTAATATTTTTTGTATGTATTTTTTATAATGGTACGATTGTACATTACTTTTTTTTTTTTGAAAGCAAATATGAGACTTTTATTAATGCAATAACATCAAAAGAAGGTGGGATAGCATCTCAAAACATAGAACCAGATTGAGTTGCGGCTTTAGTGGGCAAAGTATGAGCGATAACATTAAGCTGTCTAGAAACTAAATGAAACGAGCAACCAAACAAAGTGGTCAGGGTGGCCTTGCACTCCTCAATAACGACTCCAACGTACAATATAGGTGTGTCTCCTGCACTGATGACATAATGATGTAGGGCCGAGGAGTCTGTATGAAAAGCTACCGTTCGGCCGTGAAGGCATCGACTGTAGTCGGTAGCGGTCCACAAGCGGCAGCAATAAAGGCACCCTCACCCGAAAGGAGAACTGCACCATAATGCGCTGCTCCCGTGTCCGTGTGATAAGCTGCGTTAACAAAACAACTTAGGCTGCCCGGGCTGGTATGCGGCAGTGTATGCTACGGTGTAGGCTACTGCTTATGTGGTTTAGTCGCGGCATCCCATGCAGCAATGGCAGAGGTGGTCTGTCTCCAAACACACGCGGGGCGCAAAAGTTTCGCCTCCCACACCGCTTCGTTCCTTTCCGACCAGATGTGGTATAACACTGCAACCATCTTAACGGCCGTTAATGAAACCATTGCACTCTGAAACCACTTAGAAAAATCTCCACCATGGACACATGCAATAGGTAGGTGAGACTCATTCCAAACAAGTTTTGAAAAATCACAATCAATGAGTGAACGCATAATATCTTCATGAAATAAATCACACATGGGGCATGACGGGCTAACATCCGCTCTCTTTAAAAGGAGGGTAGTGGTAGTGGGAAGGATACCACTAATAGCTCTCCACAAGAAGACCTTCCAACGGGGAGGGATTTTCAATTTCCATAGGGATGTCCATTTATTATGGTAGTGACGAGTTTGGTCCCTGAGTTATAATGGTAGTGATGACTCAATCCATGAGTTATGACCGTATCCATTTTTAGTCCCTCAGTTATGAACTAAGTGGCGCATTTGGTCCCTGACTGTTAAAACTGACGGAAAAAATAAAAAATATTTAAAATTTTAAGGGTAAAGTAGGAAATTTACATTTTATTCACTTTCTTATATTGAAACCACTTTTGCAACATTATTTTCAACTTCCTAGCATTCTATTTCAAGGTTCTTCAATTTCAAAAGCAATTCAATAATCTTCGTATGACTTGTTAGTACCCTGAGTCTCGTATAAGGAACCTGTGACTGATCAGTACAAACAAGAGAACATTTGATCATTGTCTTCAAGCATTTAAAACACATCATCCTAAAAGTTTATGATTTCTCTTACTAAACATAATGGCAACCAAACCATAACTTTTGAAATACAAGAAGATATCAAATTTCTCAATTTATTTTTATGACAGTACAAATTCACCAAGGGAGTAACTTGGGATTTTTAGTACGTAAAATTCTTTCGTAAGCTCTGCAGTAACTTAATCAAGAATCGTATATCATGAGAATATATGAAAATTATATATATATATATATATATATATATATATATATATATATATATATATATATATATATACATCACATCCCTTGTCTTCTTAAAAAACATAGTAATGAATGAGAAACCTAAGACTCAGTTATGAAAATTCTAAAAATTTTGTAACTTCTACAAATAATTATTGACTAAACTACTGCATATGAAAACTTTTTACGTACTAAAAATCTCAAGCTATTCCATTGGTGAATTTATCATAAAAGCAATGTGAGAAATTTGACATCATTTTGTAGCTCAAAAGTTCTGGTTTGATTACCTTTGTTGCTTAGTAAAGAAAATTGAAAATTGATAGCATAGTGTGTTTCACACGTTTGAAGACAATGATAAAGTGTTTGTTTGTTTGTTATACGAGAGCCAGGTTCCTAACAAGTCATACTAAAGTTATTGAAATGCTTTTAGAATTGAACAATCATGAAATACGAGACTAAGAAGTGAAAAAAAATGTTGTGAAAGTGGTTTTGATATAAGAAGGAGAATAAAATATGAATTTCCTACTTTACCCCTCAAATTTTAAATATTTTTTAATTTTTCTTCAGTTTTGTTGGTTGGGGACCAAATGCGCCATTTCGTTCATAACTGAGGGACTAAAAGTGAATACGGTCATAACTCAAGGGTTGACTCAAAATTTAAATATAACCAAAGATGTAATTTTCCTTAATTTTTAATTATTAAACGTTTTAATATTGGGCATAAATTTTCGCGTATCGCATACAAAATACTAAAGTATAAAAACAAGCCCGAAGAATCCAACTAGTCGTGAGCCCACTACGAAACTTCTCGCATCAGACAAAAGTTTCTAATCGTTATGTTGTGCATCCGTATGCACCAAAACGACGTCGTTTTATTAAAAAACGCGCGTCTCCCCTTATGAAGACCCCGCTCATCCGGGACATGTCTGTCATCTGCAGCGTTCTCTATATGGACTCAAACAGGCACCTCGGGCGTGGTTTAACAGGTTGCATGAGTTTTTGACATCAACAGGTTTTTTGGCATCCAAAACCGATGTCTCACTCTTCTACTATACGACAGGGAAATCACGGGTATACTTGTTAGTCTATGTCGACGACATAATCATGATGGGCAACGACTTGGCTTTGATTGACACACTCCTGCATCAGCTATCCACAACGTTTAAAATCAGGGACCTGGGTACACCCAACTTCTTTTTAGGGATTGAAACAGTGCCCTCGGGAGACAGTCTTGTTCTGTCGCAGCGCCGCTATATGAAGGATATCCTGACTAGGTCAGGTATGACAGATTGTAAAGCTCTGGCCACCCCAGCTTCGGTTACTTAGCCCGCGTCTCCCTCGTCAACTCCGTTTGAAAATCCGATGCAATATCGTCGCATTGTAGGGGCTCTACAATATCTCACCATCACATGGCCCGATCTCTCCTACTCGGTTAATAGACTGTGCCAGTTCATGCACTCTCCGACGGATGACCACTGGGCATTACTTAAGCGTGTTCTGAGGTATATAAAAGGGACTCAAGACTATGGGCTTCATTTATCTGCGTCGTCAGCTTCTGATCTACATGCATATACGGATTCGGACTGGGCCGGTTTTCCGGTAGATCGTAAGTCCACTAGTGGATACGCAGTGTTTCTCGGGGATAATCTTGTGTCATGGGTTTCTCGCAAGCAGCGTACAGTCGCCAGGTCATCCACCAAAGCCGAGTACAAAGGGTTGGCCGATGTTTCAACAGAGGTTACGTGGATTATTTCTTTACTGCGTGAGTTAGGGTTACACTCCGGCTCCCCTGCCACGCTATGGTGTGATAATTTATGGGCTACCTACCTAGCAGCCAATCCGGTCTTCCACGCCCGCACTAAACATGTTGAAATTGATTATCACTTCGTTCGAGATAAGGTGGCTTCTGGGGATTTCATTGTTAGTTTCGTCTCTACCAAGGATCAGCTGGCAGACATCTTCACCAAACCTCTACCAGCACCACGTTTTCAGGCTCTACGAGACAAGCTCAATGTTGTTGCTCTCCAACCTTGTGCTTGAGGGGGAGTGTTAGCAATAATAATATTTATGTTATAGCATATGGTTTATTCTATGTGGTTATTATTCATCTGACTAGGCTTGTCTATTGTATAGGAGATATTTGTGGTAGCTTTCCTATAGGACTCTTCATTGTACTCTCTTTCCTGATCTAATGTGAATTCAGTTTGTTCATCATATTGATTGTTTAACTAAGTCAAACAGCTAATAATGGTCAAATAAATCAAAATTAACTAAAAAACTAACTATGTTACCAAACATGAGCAATAATTTTTATTTTTTATTTTCAAACTCTACATGGTGATACCGAATACAATCAACACCTTAAAATTGTATTTTTTTAAAAAAAATATGTTGCATCATTTACTTTTATTTTTAATAAATATGTTGCATCATTTAGTGAACTGTTAACAACAATTGGATTGAAAATTAGACTATTCAGCATAAGAGAGCACAGTCAGAGCACTCAAAGAATAGGAAAGGAAATATGTCCATATTTATATATTCCCAAAAGTTTTAAGAAGCTAATGGACAACAAAAGGATGTTGTATATATTAAGACAATTTATGCAGTAAGAAAGTGATATGTATTGAATTATTGATTAGAAGACTACTCCATAATTGTTGTTAGACTTAATACTCAAAATTATCCTCGACTATACTGGTTTTTCTCAATTTTATCTTAAATAACTTTGGTGTCATAATATAGTCCCAGATTTTTGAGTTATCGCAATATTGTCCTCCGTTAGTTAATTCGACTATACTGGTTTTTCTCAATTTTATCTTAAATAACTTTGGTGTCATAATATAGTCCCAGATTTTTGAGTTATCGCAATATTGTCCTCCGTTAGTTAATTCGTCAAAGTGGTGTTAAATAGAGGGATAATTTAGTAATTTCAAATTTAGGTCTTCTTGGTCTCCCATTGACTCCATCGGAAGTGTAAACTATGTCAGAAGCGGTGTAAGCTGGACTTTCATTAGCATAATAAATTGGTATGGCCAAGAACGTCGTTTGATACTTTGGATCGACAACGTAATTGTCGTCGACAGACCATTCACGAAACATGTTCGTGTCGTCTTTGGGCCCAGGTGCCTGCCTCCCAACGTTCAGCATTGACACAATTTCAATTCCGTTCATAAAGGCATAAGGAGATGGTGAGGAAGTAAGGTTCAATTGTTGTTTCTCATCAACGTTAATGATGAATTCCTTTTCAAAAAAAGGATCCGGCGAAAATATGAAAGGGTCCGACGAGGATACCGTCAGGAAGGCGCTGAACTTTTTGAGCAGGGTGTAGTTGTTGGCTGTGACGGTGAAGAAAACATTAGTCTTGTTGAATCTTCTGTCGCCGTCTGCGGAGGCGGAGTAATGGGTAGGGTAGAAGTAGAGGCGGATGAACTTGTGGTCGACGGAGACATGGAAGGAGTATGTGAGCTCGTAGTTCGGTGGAGTAAATTGGAGGAGAAGAAGATTGAAATTACTAAATTATCCCTGTATTTAACACTCTTTTGACGGATTAACTAACGGAGGACAATATTGAGTAATAACTCAAAAGTCTGAGACTATATTATGACACCAAAGTCATTTAGGACAAAATTGAAAAAAATCACTATAGTCGAGGACAATTTTAGGTATTAACTCATTGTTGTTATGAGTAATATTTAGGGTGTGTTTGGTTTGCACGTGGAAATTGAAATCGGAAAGGGTATTAAATATTTGGTATTGGTAATGGGTTTTAGTGAAAGTATTTAACATGTTTGGTAGTGGGGTGGAATGAGAATGGTTACTAATAGTAGTGCTTGAGAATAATAAGAGAATGAAACTCTTATTTTATTTGGATATTAGTTTTTCAATTGATGGGGTATTCGAAACACATAGTAGTGTTCTAAAAACCTATCAACCAAACAATAACAATCACTTTCATACTCATTCTTATGGGCAAAACTCATCAATCAAACACACCTTTAGGGCGTGTTTGGTTCGCACATAGGAATTGGAATCGGAATCGGAATCGGAATAGGTATCAAATACTTGGTAATGGTAATGGATTTTGGTGAAAGTATTTAACATGTTTGGTAGTAGGGTGGAATGAGAATTGCTACTAATAGTAGTGCTTAAGAATGAATAAGGGAATGAAACCCTTATTGTATTTGGGTATGAGTTTTTCAATTGATGAGGTATTCGAAACCCATAGTAGTGTTCTAAAAACTTATCAACCAAACAACAACAATCACTTTCATACTCATTCCTATGGGTAAAATCCACCAACCAAACACACGCTTAGTACATGTGTTACGATGACAAAAAATTGAAACTTATCAACCCAATGTTTCATAACAAGAGCAGTGAGCTCTCAGAATTAGGGTGTAATCATTTTCATTTTTCAATCAATAATTGCGAGACCGATGCATTCCATGACCCAGGAAAACCATGTGGAGGCAACATTATTGGTGGCCTCCTCATATTTGTGCCTTGGAATGAAATTTGGTATACTGCCACAACAAATCGAAGGCACTGTTGCAAAAATTCTGTTTAAGCGCCAGCCAGTCGCCTAACATATCACCATAATTGGTGATCAAGGCAACGGGTTGCTTGGTGGCCAACTAGGCCGCTTAAGCGTCATCTAAGCCTTCTAGGCCGCCTAGTCGGCCGATTAGCTATTGTTTTTTTTTAAAAGATTATTTTACTCAAAACGATATCGTTTTGAGCGAAATAACTTTAAAATGTTCAAACTCTAGATGTTTTTTTAGGTTAATATTTAATAATTTAGTATTAATTATTAAATAGTTTATAATTATAAATTAGTCTTTAAAAATTAAAAAAATTTAAACATTTTTTTTAAAATAAAAAATACATGAGCACCTAGACACAGATTAATTGTTGTCTAGACGCCTAATTAGCGCCTAACAATTTTTTCAATTATGACTTGAGGCAAGAGTCTAGGTGGTCCATTAGCCCTGGGAGGGAAAAATTGACTGAAATGTGAAGAAAAGAACATACAATTCCCAAAATGTGACCCTCAGATTCTGTAGACAATTATGAAAGGAGGTTTGGGACTTGCGTGTTTGAGGTAAAAAACGCAAGTCCCAAACGTCTTTGATATGATAATTTTTTTTTTTAAAACAGTCTCCTCAGCCGCTCCGCTGAGGTATTTTATACGTCAACATGCGTTTGAGTCGCCGGCCGCCATCATCGACTTCAATACTTCATACGCATGTCGCACATGGACATGCGTTCCAATGAAACAACATGCATGCGTTTGTCTTCTCTAATTTCTGATAGAGCTGAGCTGCAAGTATTCTGTATGACTGTATCATTATTAAGGTGGATGCAGCTGCCCTACCATTGTGCACAAAGGGTGATATGATTGCCTGTGTTATGGCACTAGAAGCTGCATTGCTTCCATGCCAGAGAACTGCAGGCAATTGACCGTTCAGCTCATCCTTATCACCAAAGTCAGTAATTTCAACGCCGATTCTTGTTCTTGAAACGCATGTGCGTATGAAGTATTGAAGTCGACGGCGACCGGCGACAACGCATGTTGGAAATGGGTTTGACTTATTGGAACACGCGTATTATTGTACGGTGGAGAAAGTACCAGAAAGTTATATAATATCGAACCCTGGCCTCTTACAAAGACAAGACACGCACTTTGCCACCTGATCTAATCATTTTTTGTTAATCTTTATCTATTTTATTATACTTATATTAAAATTTTTAGTATATATACATATATACATACAAGGGTTATATATGGGGTAGGGGAGAAGGCAGCTGTCCCCATACTAGGTCTGCCCCTACTCCGACGTATAAAATACCTCAGCCTCAAGTCGAACTTGCGGCTGAGGAGACTCTTTAAAAAAAATAAATAAATTATCAAATTAAAGATATTTGGGACTTGCGTTTTTGACCTCAAATGCAAGTCCCAAACGTCTTTTTCATAAAATTATCACATTTTAAGAATTATATATTCTTTTTTTTACATTTCAGTCAATTTTTCTGGATGAGGTGGAGAGGGGACTGATCCAGGTGCAAAGGGTGGGCCCCTGGGTCGAGCTCCAGAGGGAGTCCGTGTGATGGTGGAGGTGGAATAGAAATTGCAGTCTCCGTGGTTGTCAAAGCAGGTTGAAGTTTGTTTCTTTCTTGTGACTATGACTTGAAGTGTAATAGCAACTATAAAATGAAGTCACCCACAAGAAAATGTCAAATAATTTTTTAATAAGAAATTACTTTTTAAAAAATAAAAAAACCCACACACAAAATATTTTTAACCCTTTAGGTGAAGTGTAAGTCCACCCACCCATGGGACCATGATAATAAAGTTTCGTATGGAACACTTCAATTGGTTACATGTATGAAATTTCAGAAGAATGATCAGGGATCAAGTGTGGGAGTAACCTCTTAAAGTGAGGGGACTCTTTGTATGCAGTACACAAATGTCTAGTTTCTGTGTTCAGAGTTACCATGATTTATATTATCCTAAATGCTCTATCGAGTTGGAGTGTAAATGTCCTTGGAGTTGGGATTCAACCTTTGGAAAGAATGATAATAAAGTTTCAATCAGATTGATGGCTCCAGAAAATATATCCTGAACATTTTTGTCTCTGGATCCCAATATGTATAAAATTTTGGAGTTGACTTATCAATGTATGTACTTGGTACCTAGAATAAATGCATGAGTTGACTGTCAATTCGTTAAATTAAAGACAAACCTAATCAATGGTTAAATTAGAGAATCATGCTCGTCATGCGGGAATTACCTTAGGGAGCGTTTAGTTCACGGAATCTTGGATTATCTAGATAGGATTACCTCCAAGAAGATAATAAGAGATTTTAATAATGTAAGATTACCTTATGTGTTTGATTTGAATTGTGTAATATAATATTACCTTATTTTTTTAAATGTTATATTTTTAATTATATGGATCAATTTACTATAATGTACTCAATAATATATATATATATATATATATATATATATATATATATATATATATATATATATATATATATATAGAAGAGCGCTCATATGCGGCGGGGTCTTACGGTGCGGCGGTGCGGTCAAATTCCAGAATACACCAACAGTGTTAACAATATGCACCAACAGTGTAATAAAAACACATCCA